TTTCTTCCTTTCTTCCTTTCTTCCTTTCTTCCTTTCTTCCTTTCTTCTCTTTCTTCTCTTTCTTTTCTTTCTTTTCTTTCTTTTCTTTTCTTTGCTTTGCTTTGCTTCGCTTTGCTTGTCTTGTCTTGTTTTTTCTTTTCTGTCTTTTCTTTTCTTTTCTTTGCTTTGCTTTGCTTGTCTTGTCTTTTCTTTTCTTTTCTTTTCTTGTCTTTCTTTCCTTCCTTTCTTTCTTTCTGTCTGTCTGTCTTTCTGTCTGTCTGTCTGTCTTTCTTTCTTTCTTTTCTTTTCTTTTCTTTTCTGTTCTTTTCTTTTTTCTTTTTTCTTTTTTCTTTTTTCTTTTTTCTTTTTTCTTTTTTCTTTTTTCTTTTTTCTTTTTTCTTTTTTCTTTTTTCTTTTCTCTTTTTTCTTTTCTTTTCTTTTCTTTTCTTTTCTTTTCTTTTCTTTTCTTTTCTTTTCTTTTCTTTTCTTTTCTTTCTTTCTTTCTTTCTTTCTTTCTTTCTTTCTCTCTCTCTCTCTCTCAAGCCACTTTGCCATCCAGCAGAGAGTGAAGGAGCTCAGCCTGCTTATTAAGTGTGAGGGCGCGGCGGCCTCCGCCGCCAAGCCAGGATGCGCTCCCCAGCCAGCTCCGATCCTGCCAGCTTCGATCGATCCTGCCAGTGGAACAGCGAGGGTCCCGGACAAAAACCAACCCCCGCCCCAGGACAGTATACTAATACTGAGGAGCCTCATCTGTAGACCCCACATGGGCAAGCAAACCTGCAAGCCGCAAACCCCAGCCTTGTCATCTTCAGCTGGCCGTCGGGGCGGGGAAGGTGACCAGCCCTGAGTGTCGGTCCACGATCCGCTCCAAGACGAGTCACGCTAAGAGTCGTTCCAGGATGAGTCTCTGCTCCACCAAGCAGCCATGATGGGGCTACACGGAGGAGATGTTAAACAACAAACTTGCAACTGGACATGTCATTTGTTGCAGCGTGGCTTTGTGAGAACGAACGAGTTGCCACGCGGGGTTCCACAATATCTTTTTGATATGGATCTCTCTCACGTTGGCGCTGCCACGAAATCTCCACTTCGAGGCTCACCCAAAGCGCTGCGCCTGCCACGAAATCTGTACTTCGAGTTCACCAAGCGCGGCGCCTGCCACGAAATCTGCACTTTGAGGTTCACAAAGCGCTGCGCCTGCCCCGAAATCCGCACTTCCAGGTTCAGAAAATGCTGCGTCTGCCACGAAATCTGCCCTTCGCCTGCCACGAAATCTGCACTTCGAGGTTCACAAAGCGCTGTTCCTGTCTCGAAATCTGCACATCGAGGTTCACAAAAAGCTGCGCCCGTCAAGAAATCTGCACTTCGAGGTTCACAAAGCGCTGTGCCTGCCACGAAATCTGCGCGTCGAGGTTCAGAAGCGCTGCGCCTGCCACGAAATCTGCACATCGAGGTTGCAGTTCACAACGCGCTGCGCCTGTCACGAAATCTGCGCGTCGAGGTTCACAAAGCGCAGTATATGCCACGAAATCTGCACATCGAGGTTGACAAAGCGCTGCGCCTGTCACGAAATCTGCACGTCGAGGTTCACAAAGCGCTGTACCTGCCACGAAATCTGCAAACGAGCCACATGTCAAAAAGCACGATTCATTGCACCTGTCACGAAATCAGAGCACCTCGAAGATCACGACCGTGTCCAAAGTACTGAGCCTGCTACGAAATCTGCATTTCGAAGTACAACCACTCCAATCCCACGCACCTGTCACGAAAAGTCGACTTTGGACCACCAAAACACAAGGTTTCCTGCGCCTGCGACGAAAAGTCACCACCATGTGCGAAAATGCGCGCGCCGCCACAACGAGAGCGCAGTCGCTAGAAGCGCCCGCCGCCGGCGCCCAGATTTTTCGAGCCTGCGCAGTCGAAATGCACTTCGAGGATGTCGAGAGGCATGACAGCTGCTTTACTACTACCGTATAAGAACCCCTAAGTGTGTCCACACTGTTTGGGGATAACAGAGCTAACAGAACCAAACATGTCCACACTGTTTGGGGAATAACAGAGCAAACAGAACCAAACAGAACTTTTCACAGCACATGTGAAAACTCTGAAAGATTGCAGTTGCTGGCATGTGTGTGTGTGTGTGCGTCTGCCCCGTTTCCAGGAGTTTCTCCTCTCGCTTCTAAACAAGCAGGGGGACGGGTCACCGAAGAGAGCATCATTCGGTGCTGACACAGTAGAGGACGCTCCACTGTGTACCTGCACGACTACCTCGACCTATAGGATAACAGAACGAAATGGTTCTCGGCGTACTGTGTACGTCGGCTCCTTTCCTTCTGTTTTTACTCTAATGGTGAAGATGAGCTCATGGACATCCATTGGTTCCTTTTCCATGACGGGTTCAATCTTGAAGTGGCTGAGCACAATCTCAGGTTCCTCCTCAAGGACGAACAACATAGGGTCATTTTGCTCAGCACTTTCATAGTCCAAGAGGTTCAGCACATAGTGACCCTTCTTGCCACGAGAAGGATTGAACCATTCGGATTGAGCCACTTTCATGGAACCAGTTGCATAGTCCTGTTTAACTTCCCATTTTTCCAACAGTGGTCTTGCCAAAAGAAAAGGAGTGTTGCCCGGCACGATGGAGACGGTCACAGGAAGTCGTTGACCTTTGACCAAGGCATTGAAGTTGATCTCGTACGAAGATTCCAAAGTTTCTCCACCTCCGAACTCGAAAGATCTTCGTAGAGCATTGGTCGTCATGGGACCGAGGATTTTTGGGTTGTACTTCTCAACCCATTCTTTCCAAACTTCTTCCCCCACCAAAGTCCTCTTTGCTCCAGAATCAACGATGGCATGACCAGGAGTGAGAGTTGCGAAGTAATTTTCTTCTTGAAGACATTCTTCAGCTTCTTGATCTTCCGCAATGGTCACTTCTTCACCTCCAAGCTCTTTCACACCTTGGGATTGCACACGATATCGTTTGAATCTTGGACCATGCTGAGAAGTTGAACCTGACAAGGTAGAGCGACTTTCAGAAGATCCGGTAGAGGTCGAGGTAGTAGGCTTTCGAAGACCATGCATAAGCCGTCTTGGAAAGAATGGCTTGCCTTTCCCTTTTCCTTTTGACCCCTTTCCTTTTGAGGATGTTCCTTTTCCTTTTGAACTTCCTTTTCCGGCTCCTTTGTGACTTCTGCCGGAATCATAGTCTGGTCCGATGGCCACAATGGGGTAGAATCCACGAGCCAAAGCCAGTTCTTTCATTCTTTTTCGCGACTCAAGGTAGGTAAGAACAGGTCGTCCTTGTAGCTTTTGCTTGGAGGACTGATGTCTTTGGCGTTGGGCTTATGGTCACCACCAAACATACGAAGGAGAGCGCGATGCACATTATCGTAGTTCAGCTCTCCACAGCACAAAGCTTTCACTTGCACATGTGTCCATTTGGGAGTGCCGGATCGAGTGAGAAGATGCCAACCTGCAAGCAAAGGAGGGATCTCAATCTTCACTTCACGAAGTTTCTTGAGGGCGGTGCGATGCCTAATGAGGTAGGCTTGTAGCTCCTCTCCTTTCTGGCGATTGAAGGACTGGAAGAACTCTTCACATGATTCACATCTATAGGGAACCTCAATCTGCTCCTCATACTGGAAAAGCTGGTCCATCATACGCAGCACAGGCTCAAATGGGGTAGAGCTCGAGGTGATCTCTCGAAGATCAAGCTGTTCTGCTGCGTCCCACGCGGTGTCCTTCGACAAGCTAACAACAAGTAAAGCTCCCTCCACTTCAGCGTCTTGTGAACGACGTCTGCACTGAAGCGAGTAAAGCTCAAGTCGACGCCTGTAGCTCCTGTAGGTGCTTTGAGTCAAACCATCGGCAGAAGTGGCTGCTTTAGCAAGGCCGCTGTCTAAACCACGGTTGTTTCCATAGTTGGCTCCACCACCGGAACTGTTAGGTCTCGTTGGTGAGGGAGGTACAGGAACGTCAGGAGGAGCTCGTTCTTCATCAACAGCTTCATCTCTTCTTTCTCTTTGTCTTCTTTGCTGACCACTCATTTGTGACTTCAGCCGAACACGATCTTTGAGATGATCGTACCCTTACCGGCAAGGATGACCCCGTAGGTGACTTCAAACAAAAAGTAGCACCCTTGACAAAGGCCGGGAGGAGCGTGTCCGGCTCCGCTACCAATCTCAAACACTTTGACTCACGAAGTCCAAAGCAAACCAACCAAATGAAGCGCTCTGCGGCGATGTTTCCTCGCGATGGAGGCGGTGTCGTCGCCTGTCGACTCAAGGGCCCTCCGGGGGCACGGGTTTGGACATTGAGAATTGCGGATGGCGAAATGCATCCTGACAAAGCATGAAAATCAATTGCATTCACAATCTGAGATAGCTGGATTGACAATTATATTATATTATATATATATATTGGTTTTTTATATGTATATATTTGTATATACGTAACTTTGTACTATATCTATATACAGTATGTATCTTGTCATATCTTCTCTTCTTGTCTCTCTTTTCGTTCGATTAAAATTCAAATCCCTCTGAGGTGCCAACGATCCTGTGCAGACTTTGGGCTCAAGGGCACCGTCGGCTCCGCTGGAGCAGGTGATTCCGACTCTGCGGGTTCACCGTGTTCACCCGCATCCTTTTCAGCTTCAGCCGCTTCCTGAAGAAGGGAGCTCAAACAGCTTTCAGGAAGCTCCGTCTGCACTGTAAGCCAGCTTTCATACAGCAATTTGCTCCCTTTTTGTAGAGAAAAGCATGAATTTGACGTCCCATTTGCCCCTCAAATGCCACCAGTGTCAACAAGGAAGCCCCTCACAGATCCAGAGCCATCCTTGTGGTCTGTCACCTCTTCTGAAGCGTCTTGCGCAATCTCACTGGAAGCTGGAGCATCACTTTGCTGTGGCTGCATGCCTGCAGGTCCAACTATGTGAGATAATCCTCCAGCTGTTGAAACCACTGCCCACCTACTTGAACTCACAAGGTGTTGTACATCCATTCAAAATACCTGTCCGGTCCAACCCACAAAGCACTGGCCTGGCTCTGAGGTTCCATTCGGGACCTGTCAAGCGTTTTCTGCGGGCATCGAAGCACAACAAGTGGATGGCCTATTGTTTGGCAAAAATACCATGACATACCCACACACGTACGCACACCAAACACATCTGTTTGATGATGTCTGACGAATCTGTTGCTTCCTTGAAGATTCCTTTTGGTTTTGTTCCCGTGTACTCCTTCTTGCTTTGCTGTCGTCTCTTCTTTCTGGGCGGTTTTTCGCCAATGGAGTTGTAGCGAACTTGAACCAAGAAATATTATGTTCCAAACTCTCACGGGAATATATTTGGCCATGCAAGTCTCCCGCTCCCTTCTGGCCTGCTCTGCTTCCTCCTCCTCATCATCGCTTGGAAGCTCCATGTCATTTTTCTCCTATGGACAGTGCAAAATATGTATTGATCAGCAACTGGCACATTCCACGATGATACATTGCATACAAATAAAGAATGTTTGTGCCCAGAACAACGTGCGAGGGATCAAACAAAACAAAAATAGCATCAACAGAAACATATTCCCAGCGAGCAATGAAAGATAAAAGAGACAAGAAACGTTTGTATATAAGTGCCTTCCTATCGCCTCCAGCTGTTTGGGAGGATGCAGGCAAAGTAACTGATCCGCGATCCGTGATCCCCACCCCGAGAGGCGATTTGGAAGGCAGGGCGTATTGACAGAGCCTGACAAAGGCGGACATGCGGCGCATTCCCCCCAGAGCGAGCAATAAACAGCCACCAGACTCAGAAGGCACCAGATTCAATAGATCGTCACGGAAAACTACACACCCCATTGCCCCAATGAAGGGCACCCAGAAAGTGACACAAGGACCAAGGCAACCGGCGGGAAGCTTTTTTGTTTGGCAGATCGCAACCCCCCGCGCTGACCACGAGGCCAGCGGACCAGGAAAAGGACCAGGAGACCAATGGACTAGGGGATCTATATACTCAGGACTACTTTTTGGTTGCTCCTGTCTTTTTTGTTTGATATACTGTTCCTTTTTATCTAGATGCCCAAAAACACAGACAACTGAACACCCTTGCATGGCTTTCTCTCCTGCAGCTCTTCAATGACCTCCTGTGATATATCCTCCAGACTTGCCAAGTTCACAGAGTACCTGAATCCATGGAGAACACCCAGACCAGCAGTGTGTCAGGAAACTTCGTTGGAGCAGTCAAGCAAAGACTGCTACGGCAGAAATGGGCTTCAGCAATGTAAAGCATGCATTGGGCTCACTTCTTGGAAAGATGTTCCTGACATGCGCACGCTTTGTTCGATAAGATCTGAAACTGGTCAGTTTCAAGCCCCTCACAAGCCTTTTGAAAAAAAAAAGCATCTATTCAGATCTTCCGGACAGTTCAACCAAAATTGGTTCAATCAATGATAATTATTGAATGTCCAAACGTCCATTGGAACAACAAGACTTGCCTGCTGATGCCGAAGGACGGCAATCTCCTGCTCATAGAGTCGTCGGTCAGTGATGCTCAACGATTTGCAGAGATCCTGGAAACCATGCAGAACCAGGTTCGAGGACATGACACTCATGACAACTTCTGGGAACGAAAGGTTAGGGTGGTGCAACAAAAAGTGCAGAAATTCCGAGAGCACCGAACAGAAGAGAAAACAAAAATGCTTGCAAAAGGCGGTATGACTCGTGTGGCTAACCTCCACCCGCAACCCAAAAGGAGCACCGGACTCTGTGGCAAAAGGAACTTTAGCTGGCTATTATTGCTAGATGCTGGCCTTCCTTGTTTCAACGCTTGGCTTTCTACAAACTACCTGGATAATCCAACCTCACAAATAAAAGTGTGATTTTTAAGCTGACATGTCAACCTGAGTCACAATCTGCTCTGGTCAAGTTGAGTTTCAATTTTTTTAATAAGACAGGAAGCCAGCCTCGAGGTCTTTAACCTGATGTCTCAACACCTCACATTGCACTTGGGAAAATCTTGTATAGATCTTCAAGGGAATGGAAATGGTGGCAATGACATTTTCGAGAGTCGGCTTCTCACCATTGGCAAACCGTGAAAAAGTTTGAGGTGTCGACTCGAAGCTCTTCGATCGCACAAGTCTCTTCGACTTTCAAAAGCTCAGCCTGGCGTGTTCTTCCCTTGTCCGCTCGGTCTCTGCTATTCCCTTGCAATCTCTGGGTGTCTGGCCTCTGCCTCCTGCTCAGCTTGCCTGCAAGTGGCCAGTTCCTCCCTGGCCCCTTGAAGTCCAGCCTCATTAATTCAGACGAGTTCCAGAATCAGCTGAGAAACATAAGCTCCAGCTGTCAGCTGTAGCATTCTATGCTGTCCAGCCTGCAGAGTCTCAAGCTTTGCCTCGAGAGTCTTCTTTTCTTCGTCCCGCCTTTTTGGTGACTTGATAATCTCTGACTTGTTAATCAGGCACTGACTTGCAAAATGTCACATGGGAAAATTTCAGTGCCTGCGGATTTCCTCGGTGAGGCGGCCGGCCTCAACCACTTAGCAATTGGTGGCCATTCAAGTGAAGGACAACTCGATCCTTTCAGCCCCTTGTGGCTTCAACTACCTGGGAAAAGCCTTTACATCCGCTACTTGCGAAACGTGCGCTTGAGTTTCTGGATAAAAAGAAAGAAGGTGTGTTGAGCCGCTTTACTAAGGCCCCCTTTCGGCCTTATTGAAGGGGCCCAACTACCTTTCATTTTTGGCCTCAAGAAACTGTTACCGTTTGTCTCGGTTTTGCCTCCTTGAAGCTTCTTGACGTCACAGCCAACTTCTTCTCGGCCTCACAGACAAGGTTCGAGCAGCCCAGAACCCACCAAAAGAACTGCTCTGAAAGGGAAAAGAAAATATGAGACTGGAGGTGTGGCCTGGAGATAGGTGTTATATCTGTAAAAGTAAACCATCTGCTTTGATTTTATGACAGATAGGTCCAAGGTCCTGCGATCGTGTGTGATCGTTTTCAAGGTCAAAGGCCCCATTCTGACGTGACATGCAACATGAAGCAGGCAGTTGGCACTTCGTAGTCGACTCAGTTTGCAAGACAACACAACGCACTCAGCGCTATTGGCCTTCTTAACAAGTATTGTTGTCTGGAGACCTATAAAAAGATCTGCTTTCCTCTCAAGTTGCAATCATGGCTGACCGCGCAGTGTGACTCTCACCAAGCACCTCTAGCTTTGGAAGCATCTCCACGTGTATGTCAATCTGGCTTCGTAGCTTTGCAGCCTCTGCCTGAATCTCAGTGGCAAGTCGATGCAATCCTTGCCAAAAAGCCTGCACCTGCCATCTCCTGTCACTTCTAGGGCTACTTTCAACTCATGGAGTATTACTCTATCCTGAGCAAGGACCCGGACTTTTTGTGGAAGGTGATAAAAAGCTCATGGAATTCTTCTGCCAAATGCTGTTTGTCATGACAAACATTGGACATCTCTTTATTGATATTTATACTGTGTTCAATGACCTATCCCAGAAAGTGGCCTCTTGGCCAGCAGAAGCAGAAGAGAGCTCCACACACTTCTGCGTGGCGCTTTCCCACTTGCTCCGAGCCTGCCAAACGCCCAAAAAATATAGAGGTGGACGTCTCACGAACAAGAGAAACTGCTAGGTATAATTTCACTCAAAGAAACATCGCAGCGTCATGAAACACTCTTGCGTTACCGTGTACATGAGGTCAAGGACACAGTCAGGTAGATTGGATGAAAGTCCAAGTTTTGACCCCCACTATGTGAAACTACAGTAATCTATGATCTATGCATAGAACCTTGAAGCCGCTGACTTCGTCGTGAGCCTGGCTCAAGGAATGTCGATGGGGCTCCATCAGCTTTTGCCAAACCACGCGCCGCTGGATGACTTCAGCCAGGAACCACCTGCGTTGCACACTGGACTTCATGCCTGGAGTGATGTGTTGGCATGGGTTATTGGTTCCAACGTTTCTTTCAGTGGTTCTTTCTCTCTCTCAACTGTCCAATACTGTGCCCAATATAGACCAACCAATGCTGTGCCGGAACCAAAGTTCTCACCCAAAATCGCCTTTGCCGTCGCAAGGACTTTGATGTCCTTTGAATCTCTTTCATCTGGAATTGATGCCTGGCTCCTTGGCCCTCCAAAGCCTCACAGCACATGAAAGACGACGAAGACCTGCACCCACATGAAAGACAAAGAGAATCCTGACCTCGCGCTCCTTCTTCAGCTCCAACTCCATCTGGGACACCTCTTTTGCTGTGCGCTGTCCACCAAAGCAGTGTCATCCCATGAACTTGCTGCGCCTGTTGAGTATCCAACTCCATCTCTTTTTGGGCTTCTTCAAGCCTTTTTTGCTTGCCTTAAAAAGGAGGGAGTAAATCAGTCTAGCTTGTCCAAATTCGAGAATCGCTTTCCAGCCTTCCAGCCGTCCAAGCTGCTTCTCAAACTTGTTTCTGGGAGCGGCAAGCAATGCTATAAAAAGGGAAACGTCTGTTGAACAATCCTTGTGAATATATGTGAATATCAGCAAAGGTTTCCGTATATACAGGTTTAAAACGGTTTAAATAGAAATAGTAGACTCGACCTATTCTTGTTGCGCAGTTCACCGCTGACCTGTTTTAAACTGGGTCTCGGTTAAAATGACTTTTGGAGTACGCATACGCTCGAATCACAACTTTGACAAAACCATTATCAATGAAAGACACAAACCCGACGCACCTAATACACGCGATTTTAATGTCACGGGAGTCAATGTCCTGATCAATGCATGGCAGTCTTGCAGTTGAATGCTGCTAGAATTTGCAGACGGTATATACAAGGTGTCTACTCATGGAAGTTGCACATGCCTGCGTCAATCTTTTTCGCTGCTCCATCTTCTCAGCAAGCGACCTGTAGATCTTGTGATTTCACCCGACAATAGTCCAAGACAAAAAAGCCTCAATGATATGTCTTGCTATTTCTCACTTGACCAAACTCAATGGGAAGCCTTTCCAGCTCCTTGATCTCTTCGTCCAGTTTCTCTCGTTCAGAGACTGATTTATCCCTCTCCTTAGACCAGAAAGCACCTCTTCGATGCCAAGGAGAGCCTAGCTGTGCCTCCGACTTGGGAAAAAATATCTCGGCAACAGACCCCAAACAGTGTATAATAGTGTATCCAAAGGCCTATATGGTCTAGAGTCTAGAGGTGTAGAAACAGAAGGTCTAGAGATCTAAACGTTGGGTTCCAGGGCAATTTGATGGTGGTGACGATGGTGCCGACGGTGGCGGTGATGATGGTGTTGGTGTTGGTGATGGTGATGGTGTTGGTGTTGGTGTTTTGGTTTGTGCTGGTGTTGGTGGTGTTGGTGGTGTCGGTGGTGTCGGTGGTGTTGGTGTTGGTGTTGGTGTTGGTGTTGGTGTTGGTGTTGTTGGTGGTGGTGGTGGCGAGGAAGTGGTGAGGAAGTGGTGAAGAAGTGGTGGAGAAGTGGTGGAGAAGTGGTGGAGAAGTGGTGGAGAAGTGGTGGAGAAGTGGTGGAGAGGTGGTGGTGGAGAAGTGGTGGAGAGGTGGTGGTGAAGTGGTGGAGAGGTGGTGGTGGAGAAGTGGTGGAGAGGTGGTGGTGGAGAAGTGGT